TCCCCCAGCACCATCCCCTTAACTCTGGCCCACGTGGTGTTTGGAGTTATTTTTGGTTGCTGCTTAAAAGTGTATTTTAAGTCTTTTTTCCTTCCAACACCAAAATATTTTACTTTCAGACCGAACATTCCCGGTGAGTTACCAGCATAGTTTTGGCAGAGACCTTTTAACTGATGTTTCTTGGGAATGTTTCTACGGGTGGTTTGGTAGGAAAAGCTTATGACAGTCTCATGAAATTATTTGCATTTGGGGCTTGCGTTTGAGGCTGCCAGGCATGTTCAGGACAGGGCTGATGCAGGGTGCCACACGCCTTCCCCCATGCACTCGCTTGCTTGCAGCACATCGCCTTGTAGCTCTTGTTTCCTTCACCACGCAGTTTGGTCTGTGGCCACAGGGACCTGCCCTCAGGAGAGGAACCAGCAGCTGCTCTGGGGTGGCTTTGCAGGGCGGGAGCATCCCTCCCTGGAGCCCCTCGGCTGTTGAACCGGGATGGTGCAGGGGGATGTGGATTTACGTCCACAAGGTGCAGCCTGCACTTGGGGCTGGCAGGGAGCTCACTGCCTCCCCTGCCCTCAGCCCCTGCCCGCCTGCAGCTGGGAGCAGAGCCTGATAAGAGGGGTGTAAATACACAGGCCTGCCCATTCATGAGGGGTGGGCAGGGGGGTCTTCCAGGGAGAAATGATTCAGCTGTCTGTGCCTGTTGGGGGCAGGCGGAGGTGGCTGGTAGGGACCGTGTGACACTGCTGATATGGATAGCGTGACGCTGGCCAGGACGGAGGCCCTGAGGTGATGCTGGGCAGCACAGACAGGGTGATGCTTGGCTGACATGGACAGGGTGACACTGGCTGATATGTGCAGGGCGATGCAGGCTGGAACAGATGCCTTAGGGCAATGCTGGCTGGCTCAGACAAGGTGGTGCTGGCTGGCACAGACAGGAAGATACTGGCTGATAAGTGCAAGATGATGCAGGCTGGGACTGATACCTCAGGGCGATGCTGGCTGCTGTGGACAGGGTGATGCTGGCTGGCAAGGACAGGGTGACGCTGGCTGGGAAGGACAGAGTGATGCTGGCTGGGAAGGACAGGGTGACACTGGCTGGCACGGACGGGGTGATGCTGGCTGTGCTATGGTGGGGAAACCCCTGTTTGTGGCTGGGGTTGACCCGTGGAGAGTTAGGTGCACATCCCTGGCTCAGCATCCCACGCACTTCTCGCCCCAGACCCACTGGTGACCTCTGAGCAGGAGAAAGGGATTTCAGGGCCATTCTCCCTGGGTCCAGAGATGCCAAATGGCCCAGGAGGGCACAGACCGGCATGGACCAGCCCTGCAGTGGGTGCACGGATGGGCAGCGATGCGGGATCCCCAGCCAGCCCCATTCTCGGTGTGGTCTGAGCTCTCACAAGCATGCTCTCCCCAGCTGTGTGAGCCTGTTCAGATCCAACTGCTGTCTCCTGCCATGTAAATACAGGGCAGAATTTCTCCTCGGTCCCTTCCCACTCCAGCTGCACCGGTACAGATCTCTGGACCACCCCAGGTCTGGGAGCCAGCCAGGGCTCCCAGCACAGGACTGCAATGGCAAAGAACCTTTAATTCCGCCAACCCACGCAGCCCTGAGCTCCTGGTCGGTGTCTGCTCTTTGTGTCCCCCCTCCAGGCGTGGGGACTCCTCATCAGCCAGGGGCCAGCTGTGACAGTGGCACAGACCCTCCCAGCTGTCCCAGCTGGGGTCCCTGCCATATGGCCCCCGTGCTGTCCCCGGCAGGATGGGGCGAGACGAGAGGGAGCTGCGGGGTCCTCTGGGCTGTGGCCCCTGCTGGCTGCCCTGCTGCAGGAGATAACACCCTCTTCCCTCCCTGCTCTGCCTCCTCCAGATGCGCAGTCCCATCCCAGGCCTGGGCAGGGTGATGGTGTTCCTCGCAGCAGCCCTGGCATCAGCCTCCCTCGCCGTCCCCGAGGGCTGGGGAGAGGAAGGTGAGCCCCACCAAGCCCCCCACACAGCCCCCCACATCCCAGGCATGGGGACACTGGCGGCACCCAATTCCTCCTATGCAGCCCCAGACCTATCGGAGTCAGGCTGTACACGAAACGCAGCCACACAGCGATGGGTGTCCCCTGGCCAGCACCCCCATGCAGACCCCCACTGCCCAGTCCCAACTGGGATCAGTCCCTCCCAGTCTCCCGTGGTGGTACCTGCATGTAGCAAGACCCCAACGCCCAGCTCCCCAGGGGGGGTACAGCCCCGGGTTGCCCACCTCGACCCCCAGCCCTGGCACGGGGTTGCACGGGGCGCTAACCCATCCTGGGACACGTGTGTGTCCCTCCAGGTGTGCAGTACGGACAGGTGGGAACAGAGGTGACCCTGCCGTGTGCCGGTGCCCATGCCAGGTAGGTGTTTTCTGTGCACGCTGGGGGATTTATCCGCGGGGATGGTTTATGGGGTGGGCCTGGTGACCCTGCCGTCCCCATCCTCTAACACCGCCTGCCTGGTCTCTGCTCCCCAGCTCGCCGGTGCAATGGAGACGGGCGGGTGCTGCGGCGCTGCCGGAGGGCTCGGCCGTCTGGCAGGGAGCTCTGGTGCTGCCACGTGCCAGCCTGGCCACCGCGGGAACCTACAGCTGCCACGGCAAGGACGGTGGCCTCCTGCACACCATGTCCCTGCGGCTGGGGTGTGAGTAGCATGTCCACGGGCTGGAGTATGGGGGGGTGCGGCCCCACTGGGATGGGCCCTGGCAGGAGCTTGCCAAGGGGGGACTTCATGGTGATACAGGGGTCCCTGTGTGCTGGCTGGGCTGTGGGACGGGGACCCCCTCACTGACCGTTGCTTCCCCCTGGACCCCAGACCTGCCGGGGGTCCCCTTTGTATCCTGCAGAGCATCCGACTATGAGAATTTCTCCTGCTCCTGGACCTCCAGCGTGGAAACCTTCCTCCCCACCAGATACATCACAACCTACAGGTGATGTATCCCTATAGGACACGGGGTAGGGGGGTTTACATGTTGAGCCCTGGCAGAGGACAACCACCAAATCCTGCTGGCCATCTGACCCGTGGCCCTGGGTTCACCTCCTGCCCCAAGGACCATGCTGCGCCCTGGGGCAGGTCATGTTTTGGGGTGAGCAGAGCACCAAGCATTTGTTTGCTCCGAGGGGGGCCCCCCAGCGGCATTGGGGGGCCAAGCACTTCGGCATGCTTCAGGGTGAAAGGAGCCCTGACAGCACCACTGCTTCCAATTATCCCAGTAGGCCAAATTAGCGGGCTGCTTTGAAGTTCAGCCGGAGCCCATAAAGCACAGCCCTGCTGAAAGCTGCAGGAGCGGGGGGCTGGGAGCTTGTTGGGGAGGGGAACATGTGGAGCAATGGGGGCTCGGCGGGAAGGAGGCAGTGGGAAGCGAGGAGATTTGGAGGCCGTAGGGTGAGGGCAAAGCCAGCTGCCGGGGAGCTGCTTTTGTCAGCGTCCCTGCGCCTTTGCTGCTGTGGTGTGATGAAACCCTGGGTGCGCAAGGGGGGTCCTCCAAGAAGGACCCTCCTGGGCACCCCACCATCTTGTTCCCCTGGGACCCCTGGCTCCTGCTGCCAGGCTGCTTGCGGACAGGGCTAGGGATGGTGTTAGCTCTGTCCCCTGAGCTGTGCCACCCATGTGCATCAATGCAGGAGTGGGGCTCAGCAGAGCAGCCCCCCAGCGCTGTTGCAGAGACCCCTGTCCCTCCTCTGGGTCATGGTGGGGTTGGCTTCATGCTGTCCCCTTATCCTCACTGTCTGCTTTTCTGTCTCTCCATGGCAGGAAGAAATCGCTGACGGGTGAAGAGAAGCGGAGGTAGGACTGGCTCCCACCCCAGCCCCCGTCCCAAAGTCCTCAGTGGGGTGCCCGAGGTGAGGGCTGGTTGTCCCCGTGTGGGAACCAGCTCCCCAAACCTGGGGACCTGGGAGAAGGGTTTGCCGCAGGAAGGGACCTTCCCAGGAGGGACTGTGGGGCTGGGATGGGGGTTACTTCAGTCATGCTCAGAGGGATGTGGTGGGCTCAGCAGGGGTGAGGGCAGCTGCCCGGGCCCTGCGTGAGCCGTAACAGGGGCTGTCTCCTCCACTGGGTTCTTGGCATGGGGTTCTCCCCACATGGCACCACCTTGGTAGCAGCGGGAAGCTATGCATGGGGGGCTGGGGGACATCTCACCCCCCTGCCTCCCCGTCCACAGGAACAAGAATGGGCATGTGGGGCCGTGCCTGCAGGATCCGTCCCGCCCTGGCACCTGCACTGTCCACGGGTCGGAGTTCTGGAGCTCCTACCGCCTGAACATCACTGAGGTGAACCCGCTGGGCTCCAGCTTCCGCCTCCTCGACATAACCATGCAGGCCATCAGTGAGTCCCCATCCACCCGTCTGTACCTGTGTCTGTCCATTCCCCAGTCATCCAGCCCCAGGTGGCAGTGGGGAGCCCAGAACCCCTCTGTGCAGCAGGGCGGTGTGACAGGGGCTCCCTGTCCTCTCCCATGCAGTTAAGCCGGACCCTCCGGAGGGCTTGGTGGTGGAGCCCATCCCTCTGGCCCCACGGCGGCTCCATGTGAGCTGGAAGTACCCCTCCTCCTGGCCCAAGGAGCCCCACTTCCAGCTCAGGTTTCGGCTCCAGTATCGGCCCATCATCCACCGCTCCTGGTCCGTGGTAAGCGGTGGGCAAGGGGAGGCAAAGCCGGCATGGGAGCAGGGTGGGCACAGGGCCAGGGAGGACAGCAAGGGGTGCACCCTTCTGTCCCACAGCTCCCCTCTGCCTGGTGCAGGTGGAGACGGTGAACCTCTCCGAAGTGATCACAGATGCTTTTGCCGGGCTGGAGCACGTGGTCCAAGTCAGCGCCAAGGATTTCCTGGATGCGGGGAACTGGAGCGAGTGGAGTGCCGAGGCCCGGGCGACGCCAGTCAGAGGTGCGAGGGGGACAAGCTAAAGCCCCCACCATCCCTACCAGGTTGCACCATCCTTCCCCAAAGCCCTTCCAGCACCCTGGGCTTCCCCTTTGCAGCCCCTTCCCCATGGCACCCATTCCCCCAAATATCACCCAGAGCAAGCCCCAACTCCTGTGGTCTCTTACAGCTGACCCAAAAAGCTGGTCCCATGTGCCATCCGAAAACTGGCCCCACAGTGGGAGGCAGAGCTTCAAAGGGGAAAAGCATCTCCCAGCCCCACAGCAGGCTGCAGCCATGCTGCTGCCATTTGGGGATTGCCCCCCACAGCCTTAGGGCAGAGCGGGGCTCCCATAGCACCAGTAGCACCCCAGGGGCACCCTCAGGCTTGTGGGACCCCTGGGGCACAGGGGCACCCTTTGCTCATCTCTGTGGGTCCCTGGGGTGCTACCCAAGATTTTGGGTGAGTGATCTGCATCCCCTCTGTACTTCCAGACCCGGCCACCGCGGCAAGTGAAGAAACCACTATAGATGCCAGCCTGGAAAGCCTGGCCGAGGAGCCCTCCCAGGCTCCCAACCCTGAGCCCATCAGTGAGTAGAGCTGGAGGTGGTGGGCAGGGGTGGGGACTGCCCACAGGCAGTTATGGGAAGGGTCTCTTGCCCCATGCCTCTGTGTGTCTGGGATGCCCAGGAACTTGCAACAGGGTCCCCCTGCAGCATCCCTTGGCTGTGACAGTCCCTCTCTCCCAGACCACAGTGACTCCCTGGAGAAGATGGCCATCCTGGTGTCCCTCGGGATCTTCGCCTTCTTTGTACTGGCTGCTGTTCTCATCATCACCATCCTTATCTGGTAGGTTGGGTTTTGGGAGGGAGGGGTCTGCATGATTGCTGTCCCCATCCCACTCTGGTCCCCCAAAGCATGGCGTGCCTTATGTGCCCCCAACCCTGCTTTGGGGTCCCTGCCCAAACAGACCTGATGCCAGCCCCATAAGGTGGCCTGTGCTCCCCTTACCCCCTGCCACATCAACGCCTCTTCCCAGCACACCCCACCAGCTGCAGCTGCAGCACTGCCCAGCCCATCTGGGGTCTTTCTGATGAGCCCAAATCCATGGGACCTTTCTCTGTATCCCCCAAAGACGCTGCTTGCTGCTAATGTCCCCCCAAAGCCTCCTGCCTTCCTGGGGACTCTCCTGCTCCGTGGTCAGTGCAGAGACCCCTCCATATGCCCAGGGCTAGGCAGTCCTACCCCTGGGCACTGCCCGCTGGTCCTGTCCCCATGCCATGGCTCTGCTGTCCATCCCTGTCCCCAGCCCAGCCCTGCCCAATCTTGTGACCAGCTCCTGCTGTAGCCCTGGAGCTGACCCACTGGAGCGGCTGGGCACAGCTGGGCACAGCTGTATGGGTATGCAGAGCAGGATTGCCAGGGACGCGGGCGGTCCCAGTGCCCAGGGGGGCTGCTCGGCGTCCTCAGCCACTGCTGCTCTGTCCCCAGGCTCCGGGTGAGGAAACACAGCAAGGGCGAGACCAAACCCCACAACTTCTTGGTTGCTGCCACCCACTTGAAGGCGCTGCCAAGTGAGTCAGGGTGCAGGGGGGATGATGGGGGGATACAGGGAAGGGGGTGTGGGAGGGGATCAGGTCAGTGCCCCCTCTGACCCCCTGCCCTCTCTCTCAGCAGAGGATCAGATCCTGTAGTGAGCCCTGGCCGATCCCTGCTCCCTGCACCCGCTTGCCCACGCATGGGACTTGATGCCGTTGCTGGCCCCCAAGGACCCCACGCCTCCCGGGTCACCCCATGGCTGTGGACATTGCTGGAGCCTCCAGCACCCTGGGGGTACAGGACGGATCCTAAGGAGAGAGGCTGTGCTCCCAGGAGCTTTGGGCTGCCTGTGCCCACCAGGAGCCAGCTGGAGGCACCTTGGACTTGGGCGATGGGCCAGCCCCACCGCCGTGCGCTGCTGAACATATGGGGATAAGACTCTGAGCCAACCTTACTTCACTGCCTAGTGTCGAGGGGGACCATGGGTGCAGGCTCCCAGGAGTGCCGGGCATCAGTGAGAAGGGGGTGCTGAGCCTGCCCATCGTCCCCCACCCAGCCAACAGCAGAGAGATTGGCACTGCCCAGGCAAGACCCCCTTGCAGATGGTGCTGCGCCAGGGGAGAGGTGAGTGGCACCGGGTGAGATGCCAGATTGGGGACAATACTTGTAGGAGGTGCAGCAGTGCTGGTCCCCAAACAGGTCAGCCTCCTCCCCTGGAGTCTGGAGGGGCTGAGAGAGACCCTTGCCCAGGCGAGCCCTTGCTGAGTGTCAGAAGAAGATGCAGGCAGCTGCCTGGGACATCTCCCCTGCCCTGCCCAGCTCAGCAGTAGGGACGGGACCCTCTGCACAGCCACCCTTGCTCAGCATGTGGCCCTCTCCCTGTGCCTCGACCCGGCCCCTCTAATGGCTTCCATGTGTTGGCACCTCCCGACCCCGGTACTCAGCGCCAGCAGCCCAATGAGATCCAGATGGGACTGGGTGGAAATTCAGGCAGCGGTGGCGCGGGGAGCACAGGGAGCAGAGCCAGCGTGGGGGACCCTGCGCCCACCCTGCCAGGGAGATGGGTCACTGGGCTGGGCCCTGGGGCTGCCCTTGAACCTGGGGTGCAGAGGGAGCCTGGATGGGGGGCACCTCCCAAAAGGGTCCTCATGGGGACTGGGTTGGAGGGGGCTGGGGCGGGGCTGTGCCTTTTGCAATGGCATGTGTGCCCATGGACCCTTCTGCCCTTGCTGGGTGCTTCTGCACGCCCACCCTCAGTGCGGGGGCAGGGGGGCTGCCCATGCCGGTGCTTGGCTTTGCAGGGTCCCACCCAGCCCCTCACCGCCCCTGGTGAACGCAGTTTCCCTGGATGGGGGAGGTGGGGGTCAGCCCTCCATCGACAGTGTGCTGCTGGGGTGACACTGTTCTTGAACAGCGGCAGGGCTCCCACAAAGCATGTAAGGCAGGTCACTGATTTGGGGAGGTACGCAGGGCCAGACCCTGCCTGGGCTTCTGGACCCAACAGCCACATCCCCTCTGCCAGGTGATTCCCAGAACTTGCCAGCTCCAGCAGTGTCACTCTGCCGTCACCTGCTGGACTCTGGTCCCCAGCACCCTTTCTGATGTGTTACAGTCACCCTTGTCTCTCTTCAGTCCCCAGCATGGCATGGGCAGCCCTTTCCACTTGGAAACTTGCTCTTATCACCACCAGATCCTACTCCCCTGCTACCGTGGAGGGGATCAGGGCTGTGGTTGTCCATAGGATACTGTAGAACAAGAGTGATGTCCACCCCATAGCTGTGGCTCCGGCATTTGCAAACTGAGCTCAGTGGTTTCCCGGCACCTGGTGCTGGTTTAGAGGCTGACGCCTGCTCGAGACACAGGAGCGCAACAGCCAGAAAATGGGAGAGAGTGAGCCGGCAGCTCTGAACCCCATATCCTGCCTGCTTATAAACTCCAGAAAGTCCAGGCATGCTCCAAATAGAAGGGAGTTGCTGCTGGCTGGTGGGAGCAGAGACCACCGGAGCCTCGCACATCCCCAAGGGAACATGTGCCTGTGTTGTGCAGGCAAGCTGAGGTGGGTACATGAGAAGTGACAGACAGAGGGGACCCATAGCTGTGCTGTGCCCATGTGCCAAGCCCTGTGTCCTCTTCCTCAGCTGGGACTTGACTGGCCAGGCGGTGGGAACACCCAGTTCTTGTGACCAGGGCAGCTTGAGGGCAGGAGATGCACATCTGGTCGTCATCACCGTATCCTGCTGCCCCTGGCCTTGGAGGGTGAGCCCTCTCCTCTCTGATGGAAGCTTTAGAGATGGGTCCTGCCACCCATTTGGCAGCTGGAGATACCAAGAGTGGTCTGCATGCCACCACGGAAGTCCTGTCTGCCCGCACTGTGGCTGCCTGCTGGGATGCCCCATGGCTCAGCTCCCTGCCCCAGCAGCCTGTAGATGTGACACATGGCATCCGGGACCCCGAGGAAGCAGCAAGGTCAGTGCTTGGGGAGCTAAAGATGCCTGGTGCTGGGTGCTGCACTCCCAGCTGTCCTGGGGGAGGATGCCCCTGGCGCTGGACGTGGGCGAACAGGGTTTTCCACTGGACCAGAGAAGATGCAAGGGAAGGGCTGGGGTGAACAGCAATCTGGGATAAAGGAGAGGACTGCAGATGCCAAAGTCAACTTTGCCTTCAAGCCATGGAGAAGAAAAACAGGAAGGGACCATGAGAGCAGTCCCAGTGCCGGCACCTCCCTGTCCCACCACGGAGCCAGGGCACTTCCTCCAGGGCTCAGGCTCTCCGGTGGCTTGTGCAGCCGCTGAGCGAGCAGGAGGCTTCCTGCTGCAGCCTGGAGCCATGCCTGGACGCACCCTGCCCAGAGTAGGCAGAGACACTTCCAAACTTGCCTTGCTGCTATATCCCACCCTCCCCAGGGCGGATGCTGTGCCAGGATTGCTGGGGGAGCTGGTACAAGCCAGGCCTGGGGATGCTCTGAGGCTGTGCCAGGTCAAAGCAGCATGTGGGCTGTAGAGGTCCAGCTCCCTGGCATGGGACAGGGACCAACCCAAGCCCAGCAGGAGAATTGTGCAGGAGAACATGGCCCAGGGCCTGCTGGGGGCACAGAATTTCCAGCAGGCAATGCCACATGCCAGGGAAGGTCCCCAGCACTGAGGTGCAGAAAGGCTCGTGTCCATGCTCCATGTCTCCATCCTGTGCAGGGCGGCCCCATCCAGAGCATCTCTCAGGCGGGGTCTGGGGTCTGCCAGCCACACAGCTGTGTGCAGGGCTTGTTTGGGAAAGCAATGGCCTGGGCCAAAGCCATTGTGGCGAGGCGCCGGTTGTGGGCAGTGGTGCAGTGGTGCCTGGGCTGCCTGACTGCCACAGACCCTGCCAAATACCTGGGCTGGCCCTCAGGCCCAGCCTCCACCTCTCCCTGCCTTGCTGCCAGGATCAGCCTGCATTTTGCAGGGGAGGAGGCGGATTGCACAGGACTGTGAAGCAAAACAGTCTCAACTTACCTCTTATGGCTGCTCCTGCTGCCTTCTCTGCCATGTCCTGAGCCAAGAAAAGAAGTAAAAGCAGCCCCAGCAGACCATAGATGCCATAGAGGCATGAAGCATATATGTCAAGATGCAAGGGATAAAGGAGAGGGTACGTATATGGTCAGTGATTCAGCAGAAAGGGAAGGATGCATGGACTGAGGGAAGGAGCCATACAGATGTATAGATGGATGCATGGATAGGTTGGCAGAGAGAAGAAGGGATGGATATATGGGTAGGTGCATGGGTATATGGATGGATAGGCAGTTTGGACACCCAGATACCATCCTAAGCATCAAAGATGCTCATTATGCTGGGGCTGACTTGTGAAAATGGCTGGGAGGCCAAGTGCATAAGGCTGGCAAAGGGAGGCCCATGGGCAGAGCCAGGACGGTGTTTGGGAACAAGTCCCAGGTGTGGCCCATGCACCCAGTCCCCATGGAAGTGGCATCACAGCTGACGTGAGGAAACAGTCTGAATTTTTTCTGGTGCAAGTCCCAAGAGTGTCAGTGGAGAGTGTGGGGCATCTCCAGAGGGGTTGCACCCACCTCAGAAGCCGCTTCCATCTCACAGTCACTGGGAATGGAGGAGGGGCAGGCACCCTGCCCCAGGGACACAGCGAGTCCCATCAAATGCTTTAAAAACCCAGTGCTGAGCATTCACCCTGGCCATAGCTTCCATCTCGCCTGCACGTGGGATATCCCTGCCCGCAGCCTTGCTAGAAGGTCCAAGTTCCCAGCCCACTGGAGATGCCTGAGATCACCCAGACTCCCTCTTCTTCATCTGCCTCCCTTTCTAGCTGCCAGAGGCCTGCAAGCTCCTTGCCCATCATCAGCTCTTTCCTGAAAGAGAAGGGGAGATATCACCTGCCAGATCAGATATGCTGGCACCCAGACAGATGTGGAGAGGGGAGAGGCCTGAGACATCTCTTCCTGCCCCGTTGTAGGCTTCTCCCTGCAGGAACAGCTTTTTTTCTTTCTTTGCTTGCTGAGGCTTGCCCTCTCCCTGCCTCCGGGATGCTTTTGGTCTTTCATGGCCGAGAAACACCAAGCATGCAGCCGCAGAGATGCTGGGAGGCTAAAGCCAGCAGCTTAGCTGTACCCAAGCACTGCTGCTCACAATGTGCTCGGGAAATGGCTGCTCCCTCCTCAAAGCAGCAGCAGCTCTTCAGATGAGCTCACTGAGCCCAGGACTTCCCTGCCAGCTTTTTTCTTTTTTGCATTGCAAACAGTCCTGTTGTCCAAGCAAGAGTTCCCAGTGTTTCGTGTGCCTGCCATGAAGCCTGGTGGTACTGGAGGACACATGCTGTCATATCGTTCTTCACAGCAGTGCCCACCACGCACACATCTCCTCTGCTGTGCAGTGCGAGGACCATATCTCCTTGACGCTGCTGTGTCACTTGCTCAGAGGAGATGATCTCCTCCCTTCCCCATGGCAGAAACTCCATCTTCTCCAGCTGACTGCAGAGCTGCAGGGACCAAAACAGAGCAGGAGACACTTTGGGAGCTGCCCTGGGGAGGGACAGGGAACCTCCTTACCTGCTCTCCTCCCACCACCTGCACCTTGTGGTCCCCTACATCCGCTGCCACATCAGCTGCTTCATCTGCAGGGGCAGACCAAGCAAAGGGATGTTATGGCCCAGCCTTACGCCAGAGCTCCTCAATCAGCTGGGGGACTCCGGTGCTCCCCGGGTTTCCAGGATTGCATGGAG